TGTTTATATGAATAATGGGTGTTGGATTTTATCAGTTGCCTTTTCTGCATTAGTTGATGCGATCATTTGGTTATTTTCCATTGTTTTATATATGCAGCAGATTGTTGATTGTGCTTCTAATGTTGAACTGTTCTTGCATACCTGGTATGATTCCCACTTAGTCTTGATATATCATTTTTAAAATATGTTATTGGATTCTATTAGCTAGAATTTAGTTTGAGTATTTTTGCACCTGTGTCCATGAGTCCTGGTGTGGAGCTGTAGGATAGCACTCGACCTCAAGGTCAGTTTGAACTGCAAGGTCAGAGATTCAAACTCACCAGCCACTCCTCAGAATCCAAATACAGGGTTGACTATGAGTCAGAACTGACTTGAGGACACTTAACAACTAGAATATGTTCATGAGACATGTTGGCCTGCAATTTTCTTTGTTAATGAAGTCTTTGCCTTGTTTTGGTATCAGGATTATTCTTGCTTCATAAAATGAATTCAAGAATATTCTGTCTTTTTTATATATATATTCTGAGTTTGAGTAGAATCTGTGTCAGCGTATGTGCATGTTTGGTAGAATTCTCTAATAAAGTCAGCTTGGTCAAGATACTCTTTTGTTGGGAGATGTTTGTTATGACATGTTTAATTTCTTGGTTTTTTGTTCTGTTTTTTAATCGGCCTGATCAAATATTCTATCTCAGCCTGTGTTAGTTTAGGTGGGCTATGTGTTTCTAGAAAAGTGTTCATTGTTACTAGGTTTTCAAATTTGTTGCATTACATTTTCTAATGGTATGTGGTTACTCCTTTTTATTTTGGTTGGTTCAATTGTGACGATACCCATTTCATTTCTTATGTTGTGTCTTCTCTCTTTTCTTTTGTCAAATTTGCCAGTAATTTTTCAATTTTGTTATTCTTCTTGAAGAACCAACTTCTAGTCTTCTTATTCTTTCTATTATTTTTTTTTCTGCTTTCTGTTTCATTTAATTCTGCTCAGATCCTTATTATTTCTTTTCTTCTGGAGGCAGAAGATTATTCGCTACTCTTTTCTAATTGTTGGTAAAATATTCTTCTTTTTTTGATGAGTTTATTGCTATAAGATTACCTTGAGTGATACTTTTGCTGTGTTTCAGAGATTTTTGCATGTTGTGATTTCCTTCTTGCTTTATACTGTTATTGTTGTTGTTAAGTGCCATGGAGTCAGTTCCAATTCATAGCAACCCTGTATAGAGTTTCCAAGGATCAGCTGGTGAGTTTGAGCCACAGATGTTGGAATTTTTTAAATTTCACTTTTCATTTGTTCCATTACGCGGTAGTTTTTAATGAGGGTGTTATTCAGTTTCTTTGTATTTGCTTCTCACCCGTGTGGTGTTCAGATTATTCATTTCTAATTGTAAAGTGTTGTGATGTGAGAAGGTGCTTGGTATTATTTTGATGTGGCTTGCCTATTATATAACACGGTATGCTTTGTGGTCTAACACATGGTCTATTTTCAGAAAATGAGCCATGTGCACTGGCCAATAATGTGTGATGTGTTTTAGTTGGGTGAAGTATTCGGTATCTATAAAGACAAGTTGGTTGATTATTTTGTTTACATTTTGTGTGTGTTTGTTGACTTTCTTTATAGCTATTCTTTCCTTTAGCAAAAGTGGTGTGTTAAAATCTCCAATTATTGTGGAGTTGACTAGTTCTTGTTTCAGTTCTGCTAATGCTTGATTGATCTATTCTATGACATTTTCATTGGATGTATAGTTGTTCAGTTTTGTACTCTTGCTGGAATAACCCTTTAATCATTATCCAATGGTAAGTTAAAAACAGTGCTACTGGAGTTTCATATAAACATGCGTTTAATACAAGCAAAATGTGCTTAAACATATCTCTGTGATCAGTGGATGTGTGCTGACAAATTTTTTTCAATAATATATTTGTCTAAGTCTTCTTCGAGTACTCTCACAAAAAACAAAACAGTGGCTTCTAAATTGGAAATAGAAATACTTGATGACCCAGAAATCCCTCTACTTGGTATATATCCACAAGAAATACAAGACAAGTTTATATACAAACACCGGATGTTCATCACAGCACTGTTCACAATAGCAAAAATATACAGACAGCCTATGTGCCTATTAATGGAAAACCGGATAAACAAACTTTGCTACATATACACAATGGGACACTATGCAACATGGAAGACTAATAATGAATCTGTGAAACAATTCATAACATGGATAAACTTGGAGGACATTATGCTGAATCATATCAGTCAATCACAAAAGGACAAATACTGTATGAGATCAATATTGCGAAATCTTGAGAATAGGTTTCCAGACTAAAAGAAACATTCTTTGACGGTTATCAGAGGTGAAAGGGAGGGGAGAGTAATTCACTGGCTAGAGGTAGACACATGTTAGCTGGGGTCATGGGGAGAACAATATACAAGGAGTGAGAGGGCAATATACAAGAAGAGGGAGGGTGAAGAAAGAATACTGAAGATAGGTTGAGACATAGGCTGAATGGGTAAGGGAGGAAGAATGTGATACATATATCCTACAAATAAATCTGAATTTGAAAGAGAATATTTATAGATAAGTATTTACCTTTTCATCCACACATAACTATGAATGTGGTGGAGCATGCAGCAAGCTATGGGTCGGAATCGACTTGATGGCCCTTAACAACAGTAAAAATCCTACCTACAGAGTCCTGGTGTGGCATTGTAGGATAAAGCAGTAGACTACAAGATTGGTTTGAACACAAGGTGGGCAGTTCAGTCTCACTAACTGCTCCTCAGAAACCCTGAGCACGGTGACTATGAATTGGAACTCACTCAGTGACAACAACAAATCCTACCTACAGTCCTAATCTACCCCTTAAGTCTTTGTTTTGTTCCCCAAACTCAAAACATTGAAAAAGAACACCAACTGAGTTTTTTGAGGATGCAAAGTTGCCATTGTGACATGGTATAAATCAAAGAGCATTGTTGTTGCTGTTGTTAAGTGCTGTTGAGTCGGAACCAACTCATAGTGGCCCTGTATAGCGGTTTCCAAGGAGCAACTGGTGAGTTTGAACATTTCTCAAGCTTTTTGTCTAAAGTCTATTTCATCAGTAATGAATCTTGCAACCCTTGCTCTTTCAGTTTACTCATCGCATGATGTTTTTCTCCTATCCTTTCATTCTTAGTTCATTTTCATTTTTGTTTCTAAAGTGACTATCTTGTAAGAAGCATATTAAAGGGTCCTATTTTATTTTGCATTCTGACACTTAGTCTCTTGACTGGTACATTTAATCAATTTAAACTCAGTGTATTTATTTAATCTGGAGTGATAAAGTCAGCATTTCTAACCCACCAACCACTCCTAGGAAACCTTATGCTCTATGAGTTTTAACCAACATGGCAGCATTTAACAGCAATAAGAGTGCATTTACTGGGAGTCTTGGTGTGGTGGTATAGGATAAGCACTAGACTGCGAACGGCAAGGGCAGCAGTTCAAGTCCACCAGCCACTCCTTGGAAACACTATACAGGGTCTCTATGAGTCAGAACCAACTCAATGGCACTTAACAAAAACATCAATAACTGCTGTGATTCTTTTGTGTATTTTATTGTGGTATTGACGATTTCTTTTTTCTGTAGATCTATGTTGAGTTCGTTTAGCTATTAGGTTTTCTTTTTATTTTCTTGATTTAGTATTTATGGTTTTTCTTTTTACTTTGGTTTGAAGGTTCATAAATTGTGTCTTGTGGTTCCCTTGTAATTTACTTTTATCTTTCTAAATTTAAAACATCCCGTACTATCTTGGCTTTTTCTCCATTTGGAAGTTCAGTATGTATAATGCATTCCCTGTTTTTACTTTGAAGTTGTCCTTTACAGATTAATATTGTGTATTCCATATTATCAGTCAATTCAGTTCTTTTGTATTTAAGATTTGTTTTTCTCTGGGTTGCTCTCTGGTGATGTTTCCATATATCTTGATCTCCAGTTAGTTCTAATATAGTTAGCTCTCTGTCCAGCAGACTTCTTTTAGCATTTCTTGAAAGTTTGATCTAGCATTTGCACATTGCCTTAATTCTGCTTGTCTAGAAATTTCCTAATTTAGTTTTCATATTTGGAGGGCAGTTTTGCTGGATAGATAATCCTTGTTAGCAATTCTTTCAGAGTTTTATACATGGATTTTATATATGTATCTGCCACTGGTCTATTGAGTCAGACTGTGGTGGTTTGCATGTTGATGTGATGCTACAAGCTATGCCACCGGTATTTTAAATACCAATAGCATACGCTCATGATGAATAAGGTCCAGCTCAGCTTCTAGACTAATATTTAGCCACTGAAAACCTTATGAATAGCAGTGAAATACTGTCAGATAGCACCAGAATATTGAATATTGAAACATAATGAATAGCACCGGAATATTGTCAGATAAAGTGCCAGAATTGAGCTCCTCAGGTTGGAAGACACTCAGAATACAACTGGAGAAGAGTTGCCTCCACAAAGTAGAGTTGACTGTAATAACACAAATGGAGTAAAGCTTTTGGGACCTTCATTTGCTGATGGAGCACAACTCAAAATGAGGAGAAACAGCTGCAACTATCCGTTAATAATCAGAACATGGAATGTAACAAGTATGGATTGAGGAAAAGTGGAAGTTGTGAAAAATTAAACGAAACATAATAAGATCTATATTCTAGGCATTAGTGAGTTGAAATGGAACGGTACTGACCATTTTGAATCTGACCATCATATGGTTTTCTGTGCTGGGAATGACAGATTGATGAGGAATGGTGTCAAATTCATCATCAAAAAGAACATTTCATCCTCACGGTGGGACGTGAGGTGCTCAAGTAGGGGCGGTCGGACCGGGAGCTGTGAGGACCATGTTGCAGCCAAACATCTTACTCACAGGTACACCAGGGGTTGGAAAAACTACACTAGGCAAAGAACTTGCATCAAGATCAGGACTGAAATACATTAATGTGGGTGATTTAGCTAAAGAAGTCTAATCACCGGATATCATGGAGTCTGGCAAGATGACTTCTTCCAAGAGCATGCCGAAAGACACACAGATGATGGCACAAATCCTGAAGGATATGGGGATTACAGAATATGAGCCAAGAGTTATAAATCAGATGTTGGAGTTTGCCTTCCGATATGTGACTACAATTCTAGACGATGCAAAAATTTATTCAAGCCATGCTAAGAAAGCAACTGTTGATGCAGATGATGTGCGATTGGCAATCCAGTGTCGTGCTGACCAGTCTTTTACCTCTCATCCTCCAAGAGATTTTTTGTTAGATATTGCAAGGCAAAGAAATCAAACCCCTTTGCCATTAATCAAGCCATATTCTGGTCCTAGGTTGCCACCTGATAGGTATTGTTTAACTGCTCCAAACTATAGACTTAAATCATTAAAAAAAGAAAAGACATCTGCCTCTGTAGGAAGACTAACAGTTCCACGGTTAAGTGTTGGCTCAGTTACTAGCAGACCTAGTACTCACACACTAAGCACACCAACCCCACAAACCATGTCTGTTTCAACTAAAGTAGGGACTCCAGTGTCCCTTACAGGGCAAAGGTTTACAGTACAGATGCCCACTTCTCAGTCGCCTGCTGTAAAAGCATCAATTCCAGCAACATCAACAGTTCAGAATGTTCTGATTAATCCATCATTAATTGGGTCCAAAAATATTCTTATTGCCACTAATGTGTTATCATCACAAAATACTGTTAGTGAACCATCAAATGCATCGAAAAGAAAACGAGAAGATGATGATGATGACTGTGATAATTTATAATCTAGCCTTGATGCATGTAACTTGCATTCCTGGTTTTATAATCCATTGTACTTAAACGTGCATGCTAAATGTTTTCAAGTTGTGTCAGAAAAGTTAAGTTAATTAGCATTTAATGAGTAAATAGAATACTTTTCAAAAAAAAAAAAAAAGAACATTTCAAGATCTATCTTGGAATATAATGCTTTCTGTGATAGAATAGTAACCATATGCCTACACAGAAGGCCGGTTAATACCACTATTATTCAAATTTATGCACCAACCACAAAAGCCAGTAGTGATGAAATTGAAGAATTCTACCAACCTATTCAGTGTGCAAGGAGCTCTGGTAGCATAGTGGTTATGAATCAGGCTGCAAACTGTAAGGTCAACAGTTCAAAACTACTGGCTGTTCTGTGGGAGAAAGATGAGGCTTTCTGCTCCGGTAAACATTTACAACCTTGGAAACCCTGTATAAGGTCGCTGTGTGTCAGAACCGACTCCACAGCACATAACAACATTTCCATGTGAAATTGATCAAACATGCAATCCAGATGTATTGATAATTGCTGACAATTGGAATGCAAAGGTTAGAAAGAAAAAGAAAGGATTGGAAGTTGCAAAATCTAGCCTTGGTGATAGGAACAGCACTGGAGATCACACAATAAAATATTGTAAGACTAATGACTTGTTCGTTGCAAATATCATACATAAACAGAATAAAATGATGGGGGACCTTACCACATGGCATACAAAGATATCAAAATGATGCCATCTGTGGAAAGTAAGAGCAATGGAAAGCTCCATGGCATATGTTAAAACAAGGCCAGGGGGAAACTGTGGACCAGACCATCAATTGCTCACATGCAAGTTCAAACAGAAGCTGAAGAAAATGAAAACAAATCATGAGAGTCAAAAAATGACCTTGAACATGTCCTACCTGAATTTAGAGATCATCTGATAAACCAATATGATGCATTAGACACTAAAAAACAAAGACCAGTAGAGTTGTGGGATGACATCAAAAAATCATACAGGAGGAAAGAACAAAGGTCAATGAGAAGATAAGAAGTAAAATATCAAAATGGATGTCAGAAGAAACTGCAGCTTGTTCTCCAGCATAGAGATGGTAAAGTAAATGAAAAAAATGAGAAAGAAAAACAATTTAAAAGAAAACTTCACAGGGTAACTCAAGAAGACAAAATCAAGTATTATAATGAAATGTTCAAATACGTGGAGTTAGAAAACCAAAAGGGAAAAACACACTCAGTATTTCTCATGCTGAGGGAACTTAAGAAAAAAATGCAAGCCTTAACTTGAAATATTGAAGGATTCTGTGGATAAAATAATGAATGATACAGAAAGAATCAAAAGAAGATGGAAAGAATACAGAGTCACAATACCAAAAAGAAATGAAAAATATTCACCCATTTCAAGAGTTAGCATATGATCAGTTAACTGAAGGAATAAGTCCAAGGTGTATTAAAGGCATTTGCAAAGAATAAGACACCAGGAATTGATGGAATATGAATTGAAATATTTCAGCAAACTGATGCAGAACTGGAGGCACTCATTCATCTTTGCCAGGAAATTTGGAAGACAACTACCTGGCCAACAGATTAGAAGACATCCATATATGTGCCCATTCCAAAGAGCAGTAACCCAACAAAATGTGGGAATCATTGGACATTATTATTAACATCACATTAAGTAATAATTTGCTAAAGATAATTCAAAAATGGCTGCAACAGGATGATCACGGGGAGCTCCCAGAAGTACAAGTTGGATGAAGATGAGGACATGGAGTGAGGAATGTCATTGCTAACATCACATGGATCTTGGCTGAAAATAGACAATGTCGGAAAGATGTATACCTTTGCTTTATTGACCATGCAAAGGCTTTCCACTGTGTGGATCTTGACAAACTATGGAAAACATTGCAAAAATTGAGTGTTCTGAAACACCTAATTTTAGGCAGACCCTGTCCATAGACCACGAGACAATCATTCCAACAGGACAAGGGAACATTGGAGGTTTCAAATTAGGAAAGAGGTGTGTCAGGCTTGTATTCACCATATTTATTCAATCTGTACATTGAGCAAGCACTCTGAGAATCTGGGTTATAATGAAGAAGAACATGGCATCAGATTGGAGGAAGACCCCTTAACAGCCTGCAATATGCAGATGATGCAACCTTGCTTGCTGAAAGCGAAGAGGACTTAAAATATTTGCTGATGAAGATCAAAGATCACCACTTTCAGAATTGTTTGCATTTCAATGTAAAGAGAATAAAAATGGTCACTAAAGACTTCATTTTGCTTGGCTCTACTGTCAACAATCATAGAAGTAGCATGGTATTTTAAATAGCTCTATATGCAAGCCATAAGGAGCTCTGGTAGTGTAGTGGTTACGAATGGGGCTGCGATTCGCAAGGTCAGCCCTTCGAAACTTCCAGCTGTTCCGGGGGAGAAAGATGAGGCTTTCTGCTCCCGTAAAGATTTACACCCTCGGAAACCCTGTTACAGGGTCGCTATGGGTCGGAACCGACTCAATGGCACTTAACAACAACAACAACAAAGATTTCCAGCCTTGGAAACCCTGTACAGGGTCCCTATGAGTCAGAACTGACTCCGTGGCACATAACAACAACAATATGCAAGCCATGGTATTTTAAATAGCTCTACATGCATTTGAAAGGAGTCCTGGTGTGGAGCTGTGGGTTAATGCACCAGACTGCAAAGCTATTTGAACTGCAAGGTCTGAGGTTCCTCAGAAACCCTATTCAGGGTCACTATGGATCCGAATCCACTCATTGGCACTTAACAACAACAGCAACATATACGTTTGAAAGTTGGACAGTTAAATAAGGAAGACCTTAGAAGAATTGATGCATTTGAGTTACGGTTTTGGAGAATATTGAAAGTACCATGGGTTGCTAGAACAACAAATATATCTGTGTTGTAAGAAGTACAGCTAGAAAGCTCCTTAGAAGCCAGGATGGTGGGACTTCACCTCTCATAATTTGAACATGTGATTAGGAGGGACCAGTCCCTGAAGAAGTCTGGTAGTGTAGTGGTTACGAATCGGGCTGTGAACCTCACAGTCAGCAGTTCGAAACTACCAGCTGCTCCGCAGGAGAAAGATGAGGCTTTCTGCTCCTGTAAAGATTTACAGCCTCGGAAACCCGGTACAACAGGGTCGCTATGGGTCGGAACCGACTCCACGGCACATAACCACCAGTCTCTGAAGAAGGACATCGTGCTAGATAAAGTGAAGGGTCAGCAAAAAAGAGGAAAACTCACAACAAGATGGCTTGGCACAGTGGTGGCAGCAGCGGCCTCAAGTGTAACGCAATTGTGAGGATGGCAGAGGATCAGGCTGTGTTTTCATTGGCTCACTACTAGTCAGAACTGAGCTGATGCCACTTAACAGCAGCATAGCATAGTGGTTAGGAATCAGGCTGCGAGCCTTAAGGTCAGCAGTTCGAAACTGCCAGCTGTTCTGTGGGAGACAGATGAGGCCTTCTGCTCCCGTAAAGATTTACAGCCTCGGAAACCCTGTACAGGGTCGCTATGAGTCGGAACCAACTCCACGGCACATAACAACAACAACAACCTTATCTTCTACATGATTTCTCCTGAGAAATCAGAGCTTTGGCTAATTTGTTCCCCCTTGCTGGTAACGTTTTTTTTTTTTCTCAAGTTGCTCCCAAGTTTCTGTCTTTTCTTTTGTTTTTGAAAGTTTGATTACGACATTTCTTGGTGACTTTCCTCTGTCCTTTATTGGGTACATTGAGCGTTTGGATGAATATCTTCCCTTCTTTCATGATTGTCTTAGGTGGAGTTCTCTAGAGAAGCAAAACCAATGAAGTTTATATATGCATATCTGAAGAGAGCTTTATATAAAGGAAATGGCTGACACATTTATATAGGTGGTTAGCTCCAAATCAGTGGATTCGATTTCAGGCTGGAGGTTTCTGACTCATGTAGCTACAGAACTGATGAACTAAGATAGGAGGTCTGGCAGATCTGACAGGTAAGAAGGCAGGCTTCTGATGACTCCCAAAATTGGTAGGCTACTGGTTCATTTCTACAAAACCAGAGTTGGAGAATGAACTAGATACAAGATCTGTACCCAGAAGACACCAAACAAGTCTACCCTGATGCCCAGTATTCTTGAAACAGGCCACATCTCAAGGAAGCTTCCCTTCACTTGATTGGCTGCTCATAGCTGACCTCATCATCGAGTTGACTCCATATACTATATCTCGTCATGTGTGGTAATACATTTTAACTGTCAAATCACTTAGAATCCTTCCCAGTCAAGTTGACACAAAATCTTAACTATCGCAATGATACTAGAGATGTTTTTGCTAGCAAATTTTTGACAATTCTCTCTGGAGTGGTTTTTTTTTTTTTTTTTTTTTTTTTTTTTTTTTTTTTTTTTTTTTTTTATCCTCCTCCTGTTCTGTAATTCACATCAGACAAAAATGTTTCCTCTTTATAGCATCTTACATAATACTTGGGCATTCTTCTTTTTCATTTATAATTTTTGCGTTTTTCTCATACAAATGGTAGCCAAATAATTCATCCTCTAATGTGCTGATCCAATCTTCTATTGATTCTATTCTATAGCTTTTTCCAGCCAATGTATTATAGCTGAAATTTTAGTGTTAATGTTGGATTTCTAGTTGCTGTGTTTGCAGTATGCTAAATTACCATTTATTTCATCATTTTGCTCCTATATTGTTTTCCTGAATGCTTCTTGGGTTTGTCTGTGATTACCCTGAGCTCTTGGCGATCCCCTGTACAAGTCTTTTGAATTCCTTACCAAGTGGTTCTATTACCATGTCTTCCTCAAGGAAGTTACATGCGTCTTTATTTTGGTGATTTGCCTGAGCCATCTTGTCCTGTTTCTTTATCTGATCTCAAGTTGCCTTTTGTTTCTGAGCCATATTGGTATCTCATTTATTTGTGTGTTCTATGTTCATTTGTTCCAGCCTGACTTTTTGTATTGTTTTCCTT